ACGGCTGCTCTGCTCTGCCGCAGAGGGAACCCTCAGGGCCTCGCTCACATCTCCCCCTCCCAACCCTGGCACTGTGAGAACCTTCCAAGGACTGCAGGGATTCCTCAAAACTCACTTCTGAACCCCTAAAACTTGCTTTGCTCRCACCTATGGAACCCCAGGTCCATGCACTTGTGGGGTGTCCTGGGTGAGATTCACTGGGGGCAGGTTGGGGTCTCCTTGGGAAAGGGGCTGGAGATGCCTCCACAGCTTCTCTGGACAACCTGTGCTGGGGCCTCACCACCATCACAGGGGAGAATTCCTTCCTGATATCCCATCTAACCCTGCTCTGTCAGYTTGAAGCTGTTCCCACCTGTYCTGGCACTCCAARCCCTGYTAAAAGTCACCCACACCGACAATTCCACCCAGCCTTGGCCACTGAGGGACAACGGGTCCATAGCCACCTGGCCAGCTCGCCCTGCTTTCTGCTGGATGAGCAACAGGAGGGATTTCAACACAAACCAACCTGGCAGAGAAACCCAGTGCCTGGGGCCAAACACTTGGGAGGCTAAAAATAAACCAGCAGCAGCGGGGGAGYGACCAAGGTCCCTCCTCTGCTCCTGCCCACTGCCCCAGCCAGCACATTTCCTCAGCACTGGGGCAGCACTGGAGCAAAGCCCCAGCCTGGCTCACCCAGMGAGGAACCAACCCATTTTCCTGGCTGGAAACTGCTGCAATCGTAGAATTCCCTTTGCTTTCCCACAGAATTCCCCCCGCCACCGCGWACCCCCGTAACTACAAATCGATATGTTTATAGTTTGCTCTTAAACTAATGCCCATTAATTCCCCGCATTACTGTCGAGCAAYGGAGCCAATTTTGCGGCTGATTGTGGAAGAGCAGAAAATGATGATGCTGGAGCGAGCTGAAAATCCACAAAATAGATCACAGTGGGTGGGATGCGGTTCTTGGGAAAAGAGCATCTTCCTCTCCCCGCTCCCACTCCGCAGCCCCGGTGTCATTCTGGCACCCTCCCTGTGGCTCCCACACCTTCACCTGAGCYCTCTGTGCCCTCAGGAGCACTGTCCCCAACCATCCTGACCCCAATCTGGCCCCAGAGCAGTGCTGCTGCTGCAGTGTGCCCGATTGCTCAGCTATTGCAGCCTCAGAAATAACACAGTGCCAGTTCTGGACAGGGTCAGCAGCAATTTGGGGACCCTGAAAGTCAATCTGCCCCTCAAATGATTGGAAAAAAAAGAGCTAAAATGTGCTCTGCTGAAAGAAGCTCATATTTTTAAAACTGCTTCATGATTATGARGGTTGCTGGCCTCTCACAGGGTGCTCAGCACTGCATTTCTCCCCCAGTTTCTCTCCCAGGAGTCCACGCCAAGTCATTTCCACCCAGGACACATATTTTGCACCCACAACTGCACATGTGCACGTTACACACTTCATTCAGGCTGCAGCCACACATCAGGACTTTCATAAATCTCCAGCTGAGCAGAACCCTCTGACTGCAGCCCCACAAGGCTCTTAAACACAATCCCAAATCCCACTGTGGCCCTAAGCCATGAGCACCTGGCCCAAGATAAGCTCAGGTTTAAATCCCCAAGGAAGAGGATGTGATTCAGGGAGRATGGTGGTTCCTCCATGTCTCGGGAGTTACCACCTCCTGGGACACACCACCCAACTGAGCTACCCCAGCAAGGCATCAGGAGGATTAATAAATTAATTATTATAAAGCACTTGGAGGGCTCTTCGATGACAGGATCTATGAAAGTACAAAGAATTACATAATTTATTATTCAGTATTATTATCACTCAGCATTGGCTCCTCCTGCACGCTCCTGTGTGGCACCAGCCTGGTCTCCAGGGAGGGCTGAGCAGCCTGGCTGTCCCCAGCAGCGCTATTCCAGCACCTGGCAGACAGGAGAGCTTGGCACTGCCAGGTATTCCTGGGCACTCAGGTGCCTGGAGAYGCAGAGAGGCACAGGGAGATGGGACAAAACCAACAGGATTTGGGCAGCCGGCGCTTCAAAAGAGCCCTTCTGCGCCTTAACGTGTCCAAGTGCCATTAAAATCTGGCCCCCAGCACTGTCAGTCAGGAGCAGAGAGGGGAGRRRAGCCAAGAGATGAGGATTCCAGGCTCCTGCCTTTCCATGTCCTGCTCCCAGCAGGGCCTGGGACAACCTGCTCTGAATGCACGCAGGAAAATATTTCCCACAGCTCATGGAGACCGCTGACCGCAGCCCTGCAGCATCCTCAGCTCAACCACTCTGTCCACAACTGCCCTGGCACCTGAGCCATCCTGTGCTCCTCTCCTGGCTGCTCCCATCTCTCAGGATTGCTGCAACTGAGGCACAGCCAGAAAAACACCACAAATAGCAGATGGAGAGCTCAAAGAGGACAAGGGACACAAGAAGCCATCAGGCATCAAAGAGTACCGAGGGGAAACAGAGATCCTCTGTGTCCCATGGGTGAGATAAACCTGCAGAAAAACCATGTGGGGTGGGGAGAGAGGGTGACATTCCCCTGTCCCTCTCATCCTGCAGAACTGAGAGGGGCCTTCTTGGTATTTGCTTCGTTGCGTGTGGAAATCGCAYGAACAGAAAATGATGCAATGGAAGGAAATCCCAGCGTGGGAGAAGCCCTTCACGTACCACAGCCACGGCTCACGCTGCCATGGGAGCTCCCTGGGACAAATGCAGGCTCCCATCAGGCTGGGCTCCTGGAGACATCTGCCCAGAAAGATGAGGCAGGGCCAGATCCCGCTCGGTAACATGGGATGGGCAGCACAGGCCGGGGATGCTCTTGTGTCTGCCAGAAAGTGCCRAAACATCATCACTCTGTGGAGTAAAACCTTTTCTGAGCAGGCCCCCACAAATTCCTGATTTGTGGTTATGACTGTGCCCTGCTCCAGCTGCTCCAGCCACAGCACAGGGGTCTGGATGAGTCCCTCCCATTACCCTGCYTCTCCTCTGCCCGGCTTCCCCAAAACACAGAAGGAAATGAGTATCTTTTGGATCTCCCAAGGTCTGGAGAGAAATCAGAGGCTCTCAGCCRTGCCTGGGAGGGCCCTGTGAAGTGCTTCACCAGACAAGGGAATGCACGCTCGCCTTGACAGCTGCAGAAAAGGGGCAGAAGCGCTCAGCAAAAGTAATTAATCCCAGAGACGAGAGGTGGAATGAGCAGAGCTCAACAAACAGAGCCCGGAATGAGCGACAGCTCTCCCTGACAGGCACCACATCACCAGCACACGCTGCTGGGGCACGTTGGGATGCTGCACCAGGCTCTGGCCATGCAAAGAGCCACGAGCTGCCAGCTGCTGCCACCTCACCTGCACAGGTACAGGCAGTGAGAGGTCCAGAGCAGGCAGGCAGAGCTCCAGACAGGCTGGAAACTCATTGAGGGGGAGATCAGAGAACCACAATAATTCTTGGAAAGGGTGCAGTGGAAAGGGGAGGGCGCCCAAAAGAGAGGAGCAGGAAGTGACTGGGAATGAAGTGACTCAAAAAGGCAATGACCTGCTGGCTTTATCCATCAAAGAGACATCCCAGTGCCCAAAGAGGATGGTTTCACCTGTTTGGCTGGCCTCAGCTGCAAGCAAGACATGGGGCACCACTGCCTGTGTGCCCTGTGTTGGCCCTGCTGGTGTTGGCACCTTCCTGGCACAGAGGAGCCACCCCAGGGTGCAGAAAGCCCAGCACGCAGGAGATCACGATCAGACTGTGCTGTGCTGGGACTGGCTGTCCCCAGACCCCTCTCCACCACAGAYCAGGTTGTCACAGAGGCTGCAAAGCGAGGGGCGATTGCAGCACAGCATCATTGGTACCTGGCCCGGCGCGGCTGCACTCGCCGTGGGCGACAGCTGCAGTGAGCACACCAAAACCCAGCTCGGCTCCAGCCGGGGCTGTGCCCAGCTGGCACTGCCACCTTCTCACTATTTCCACCCCCCAAGCACTCCGAGGAAGCCCAGCCGGGGTACCCCATTCTCTCYGACCATCACACCCTATGGTTATGCGGACATGCCCCCCACCACCTGCCCTCCTCCCGCCTGCCGTGCCACGGCAGAGAGCAGCCCCGCGKGTAGGGTTGTGCAATGCACCAGTATTGCCTCTTCTCCATATGGGAGAACTTGCTGCATCCTAATCTATTGCCTTTTTGGGTAAGCGCTGCCATGGGACTGCAGCAATGACAGAGGGGAGAGCTCGCAGGTCTGCTGCACGTCGGGGGAATAGCTGCGACCTGCAAGCGGGGAGGCAAACTTGAGCCGCCAAAGCCTTTGTTTCCTTTGTGCATCCTTCAGGAGGAAAAAAAAATGATTTTGCTAAAACTGGGTGGCTGAGGCACCAGCCACGTTAATTAGATTACGGTGGAGGTCCAGACGGGAAAGCCACTCGCTCAGAAAATCAGGTTATTAAACCGATACTGAGGTACCCGGAAAAATATCGAACTCGCCGGTGCCGGGCTCTTCTCTCCACTTCAGAGCGCAATAACAAAGGGAACCCCTCCAAGTAACGCACCCAAACTTTGGAAGGCACCCAGACGCTCGGCACCCCGCTCCGGGAGCTGCTGCCGGGCTCCGGGGAGGCAGCGCGGAGAGGACAATCCCCACGGCGGGCCCTGCGTACCGGGGGCCGGGCAGCCCGGGGGAAGGATGCTCGGGGCAGGGGCGGGGGGACGGCGAGAGAGGGCGCGATGCTCTGGTGGGCGCCGCGGGCGGGCAGGATGCGGCCCTGGCCCCGCCGTTCCCGGAGGCTCAGAAATAGGCCACGGAGGATGGTTTTTGTAAGAAAACAGCGCGTTCCCCTGGCTCGCTGCCCCTCTCCGTGTCTCTGCTGCCTTATGGGTTTTTTCCTCCTCCCAGGCCAATCCCTAAATTCCTCCAACAAAGCCCGGCCGAGCCTGCGCCCTCCCCGGGAGCGGCCCCGCAGGAGCCGCCGTTCGCCGCGGCACCGACCCGGCGGCAGCGCGGATCCCATCGCAGCCCCGGCATTCCCCCCGCAGCCCCCCGGACACTCACAGTACGTTTTCCTGGTCAGCTCTTCCACAACTTCAGGCTTCAACTTGCTGTTGGATTTGCCCATGGTGGCGGCAGCGCCTCTGAGCCCGCCGCCTCCCGGCCTCGCTGCGGGGCACGGAGCGGCGGGGCCGCTGCCTCGCTGGGGCTCCCGGCCCGGCTACATCCCGCGGGGGGCGGCGGCGAGGGGGGCGGAGGGGTCTTTGTTGGCGGGGTTTGGCCGCAGAGCCGCGCTGCGGGGCCGCGCTGCGTGTGCGTGTCCGTGTGCGTGTCCGTGTGTCCGTGTCCGTGT